AGATCAGAAGGCTTTTTTTTTTTTTAATGCTTTGGAAGCATTAAGTGGTTGGGGAAAGCCATCCTTTCTTTTAGTAGTTTTTAAGCCTAAAATGTTTCTTTCCTGGAGATGTATGGTAAGCATACAGAGAAACATTATTTCTGGGGTTATTGTCTGGATTACTGCTGTGCAACTCTTCCCATGCCAGTAGTGACTGAAAAGTGAATTTCATGGTCTATGTCAGCCTGAAAGATGTGGTGGCTTAGTCCAATTTGGGGTTTAGTGAGACACAGGCTTCACATGTAATTCATTCTCTCAAGGTTTTAAAATTGTAGAGTCCCAGATGTTTCACTCAGGATGGCAGCAGACTGTCATACCCGTGTTGGATTGTCATAAATTCTAGGCATACCAAATTATGCAGTAGTAAATCACTTCTGCATTTAAAAAAAAGCTTTCCACAGCAGCAAAACTTGTCCTAACTTAATGTAAGGACTGGGAGTTCGACTTTCAGAATAATGGTTTCCCCAGATGGTAAGAGCTGCATTGGGCAGTAAAATCTTCTGTTGACATTGCCTTGCTAAAGAGCAGGTCTCAAGGCACCACAGCAGCTTGGCAAGCTCATCCCCTGCATCAGAGCCCCAGCTGCTGCAGAGCTCTGCTGCAGCGTGCTGGCAATTCCACAGCAGGGAAAAAGGACTGGGGCTCTAACAAATTAATTGTGACCCTCCCCAACCCAGGAACTGCATTTTCTGCTCTCTAATACACGCTCTTTTGCTATTTTCTGTTGGTTTCACACTGCTCTCTGCTCTCAGTTTTCAAAAATGCTAGAGATGTTTGCATTGTTGACGTGGAGCAGTTTTGTAGATGCCAGTGGCAAATCAGGAGGCATTTGAACATGCCAAGGGGATGATCTGGGCTGTTTAGTTGGGAGAGCCTCTGAGGTATTGGAGGAACTGAGACGTGAGGGGAAAAGTAAATAGGAGCAACACACTTCATATCCCAGGTGCAGTAAAGGAATGGGATTTTCAGAGGTAAAATATTCATGAACTACTCCTCTCTGAGGACTTGGGGGTTTTTAAAGCTCTGAACACTTCCTCTGGAATGCTCTGTACCTCAGAAAAAAACAAATAGCTGCATTTAGGCTTAACTCAGCCTCAGATAAGGGAGAAGGTAGCTTTCATGCAGTTGTGATGCACGTAGCTCTTTGTGGGGCTACATGGTGGTGGTGGTGCACATTTCAAGTGTAAGTAGGCAATGAGAGACTTAAACTTACCTGTCCTTGCTTGGCACCATCCCTCCTCCTGCCCTGCTGCATGCAGGCTCCTGCTGTGTCCTTCTCTGGCTACACCTCTCAGCTGGTTTTCAGCCACGTCCCTCTCTTTGGGTGCTGCTCTCTATCACTGGTTGGGTTTGCAACCATTGGGATCAGACATACAGCTTAGATGTCTCATCAGTTAATATATAAATTTTATTGCATGAGGCTGTTTCTCTGCCTATATAGCTTGCTGTCTTGGTTGTGCTTTGTGAAACATCAGCTGGAGTTGCAGTTTTAGCTCAGAGGTTCAGCAATCATCAATCTCAGCCAGAGGCTAGATTCCATGATGAGATCCCTTCCAGCCTCAATGATCCTATGATGATAAGCAGTACCACAGGCACCCTGTGTTGCTGTGGGCATGGAATTTTCTCTGGAACAATGCATCTGAAGAAACCACCATGCTGTGAATCTTGATACAGTATTAGCTTTTGAATTTATTAGCAGCTGGAAAGATGATTTTATGGAAACATAATCTATCTTATTGATCTCAAGCAACTGATAAATCAGGAAATGGAGGCAAACATCTGTGCTGCTAGTAATTTTTTTCAGGATTAACTGGGAAAAATTAAAACCCCCAGGTTCCAAGTACATCAGTGGGCACCAAAAATCACAACTCTTCATGCCTAGCTGTCAAACCTTATAGCTCTTCCATGATATCTTTGATGGAATTATAAATGTTCAGTGCAAAAAGATTTGTTGTACCAAAGGTGGAACACATGGAAGTAGTATAAAATAAAATAGATTTAGTATAAATTAAACCGTATAGGGATTGCATTCTTGGTTGCACAAATAAGTTTGGTGCTTTAATCATTAGAACATTACTTGCAGAGTTGAAACTTTTAGGTAAATTGAACTGCCTGCAAAACAACCACATAACATCAGGTTTAAGCACTCAGCTAATCAAGGGCTCTTAAGACTGTAAAAAAACTTGGTACAGATCATGCATTAGCATGCCCAAGTTATACAACCCACCTATAAAAAAAAAAGCTTGTCTTTTGTCCATTTTTATGCCAGATTAGATGTTTTTCCTTCTCAGTAACCGTGTTAGTGTATGTGCCTAAGTCTCAAAACATGTGCTTTTCTCTCCAAGTTAATGAGGTCGTTTTAAAGGTGAAAGGCATTCCTTGAAAGGAAGAGCACCACCTTGTGACACCAGGAATAATGTTGCTGTGCACTTGATCGAGAACAGGGAAGAAGTAGATTTACAAGGTTTTATCCTCTAACAGGATTTTTAGAGATGGGTTTTCTCTTTCATTTGCCTTTTCTTTTAAGACTTAACAGGGGAACTGATATTTTCAAGTGATACAAATTCAACAAATCAGCTTTATTTCCTCGACATGAAAAGCTCATTTTCCAATTTCATCTCAAATTTCACTTTTTTAATAGATTCACTTCAGAGAAAGATCGTTATGAAATCTTAGCAGATTTTAAAGCCATCAATTAGACTATCAGTCCTTTAGAACTGAAATGTGGCGTGTTTTTACAGACTTCTTATCCCTTCATCTTTCAGAAGCCTTAAGGAAGGAGAGGGATTTTATAAGCTTCATTATAAGTAGCATGCAGGGACCCTCCTATTTAGGCTTGCATAGTATTAAACATTTATATGCTCTCATCCAATTTGTGGTGAGATTCTTGCAGAAGAAACTCCATCCTAGCACACAGGACTTTCAGTCAGGCCCATACACTTTTCACAGCTTCAGCTATCAGTCTGGAGCTTCAGTCAAGCTAAAATAAGTTATAGCTGCCTGACAGGGCATAGATGGAAACAGTGTCAATCCTACTAACACAAATTTCTTCTGGTATTTTTGCACAAGCAGAGGCTTTGATAAGGATCAGTTGTTCAAATACAGTGTTAAACAATCCATGTAAAAGTGCAAGAGCACTGCCAGAGATCTGGATTGAGACTATTCCTACTTCCACAGAAAGCAGAGTTTAGAGAATTTACAATGCATTGATTGCAAAATGAGAGTTTTAATTAATACCATAACATCAACAATAAGCCATCTTTTATTGTTTGTTCAGGGTTTGTTTTTTGGTTTGTTTTGGTGGCTTATTTGGGTTTTTTTTGCTAAAGTGCAAACTTTTACAAAATTTAGAAGAGTAGACATGTTTGTTATTGAGGACATTTTATTACTATTGCCTTAGGCATTTATCTCCACAACAGATTAGCTTTTACCACTGAGTTTTATTGTGCAATTTACATAACTGTGACTTAGCTGAGCCTTGAAAGCTGGATCTCACCTGTCTTTCAAGAAAAATGTCATTTTACGCTTTCTGACTTGTTTGCTTAGAAGCTTGTCAATTTTTTTTTTCCCAAATGCATATTTATATTTTAATGAGAAACCAAACAGCTTCAGAACAAACCTAAAGCTGACTCAGAGAGTGAAACCAAGAATCGTCTTCCTGCTTGTGACACGGATTAGTGTAATTTAGCCAAATATCTGTCAGGGGTTTGAACTACTGCAACATTCAGCAAGTTCCTTATGCTAGGACAGGCAGCATCAGGTGGCAAATGAATCCTGCAATGTTAACAGGGTGTGAAACTTATTGGTACCTGGTACTTATTGGGTTAGGGTCCTCTAGGAAAAAAAGAAACAAAAGTCAAATGTGCTGCCAAACCCATTCCCTGAATGAAAGAGAAAGGCTGGACCTGGAGTGAGTAAAGTTATTTAAATTTTGCTTTAATGGGTTTTTTGCTGCCTTTGCCTGGGACAAATAAAAGATGTTGTGGCTTCCCACCATTCCTGGTTTCCTTGGTAACACTCTGCATGTTGGGAAGGAGCTGTTTGAAAGTCATATTAAAGGAAAAGCCCTTGGAGAAGAGCAGTTTGATACAAGGCTGTTTTCTTTCTTTAGAACAAAGCAGCAATAAGCATGTATGTATGTTTTTGAGAGAAACTCTAATAGAATGACTCATTTGTGTGTTGCTGACAAATTCCATCTGCTGATAAAATATACATTACAACCCTGTTCATCCAGAAAGGGGTGTCCTGGATCTTTCACCTGATTGCTGAAACACACTGTTCAAAAGAGAATGCTGGGTATTAGTTTACTTTTAAAGACAATAAACAAATAATGAGTTTGGGTCATTTCGCAGCATGTTTTGGGACACTAGTTGAGGGCTATTTATTTCCTCAAGTACAATTCCCGTTCCATTTTCACAGAAAAAAAAAAAAAAAGAAACGGGGCCTGATTGGGGAATTTAACATTTGTACAAAGTATTTTCCTGTTTAACTGATTAAAGCTCTTGAATCTATCACAAAAATGTGTTTTAAAATTATAAAAATACCTTCTGTCCCTCTGTCAGCAACTGAAGGCTTTCTGTTTAGAGGAAAGATGCTCACACAGCCTCTTTTGGGAAAACTATAAAACTCTTGTTTGTTAATGGAGGAAAAAACCCAAGCATGAGGTTTTGAACAGAATTATTAATGTCCCGAGTGTTCAAGCAGTCAAGGGAGGTTTCAGTCACTTTCCTTTTCCTCTTGGCAACCTTCTATTTTGGAGTGGTGAAGGGCAAGACTTTTGAAGTAGTGCTGGTCCTTGGCACTTACTCTGCAGCATTAGAATGGCAAAGCCCAGAACTACTGGCAAACTTTGGAAAATGCTGATTTTTGATCAAGCTGTTAGTACAGTTTGTGATTTGAGTGGAGGGCTGACTTCAGACTGGGGGTTCCAGGCTGAAAGGCTCCATTTGCCCTTTGATCAGAGAGCTCTACTCTGACCTGCAGACAGCTCCATCCTCAGCAAGGCTTGCCCTGGCAAATTTTTCTCTTCAGTTGGCTTGGACTGGCAAATTTTTCTCTTCAGCTGGCTTGTTCTGGCAAATCCCATCCTCAAGGAGCCCAACCCCTTCCTCTGAGAGTGCAGAAAGCTTGGACACCCAGCTTCAAGTTCCCTGCTGGGAGCTGAGGGTACCAGCTTGGTGGCCCTGCAGGTGAGCCATCCCTGGATCTGTTTTGCAGAGCAGGTGTTCTGCAAAAAGCACATTTAGCAGACAAACTCAGAAAATCTAGAACGCCATACTCAAATTGATTTTTGGTCCTTTTCTCTGCTGAATTTTCTTTTTATCAGTACTAAAAAAATTTCTGCCCAACGCTAGATAGTATATGCAGAACAGAATATGTCAAAAATTGTCTACAGTTTTTATAGACTAATGTTTTAATTTCTTGCATTTCATGGGGGGGTGTTTTGGTTTGTTTTTATTTTTAAACTTTTTTTTGTTGGTTTGGTTGTTTGTTTGGTTGGTTTTTTAATTTGTATTTTCTTCTTTTTTAAAATAATCATTAACAAAGAAACTGTAATCTCAGTTTTACTTCTCCATAGACAAAATATTATAATTAATATAATATAATATAATATAATATAATATAATATAATATAATATAATTAATATAATATAACATAACATAATATAACATAACATAGCATAACATAACATAACATAACATAATAATTAATATAACATAACATAGCATAACATAACATAACATAATCACATAAATATACTATAAATTCCCATAGTGCTGAAAACATTTCTGTTTATTTTTAGGAAAAAATAATCAATAAAAATTGGAATAATTCTGAGTTCTCTACATTGTCAGGAGGACTTGAATAAAAGTCTCACATGTTAAAAGTAGGGACATTTCCATTTATAATAATTTTTTTAGGAATTCTGAGTGGGGTTTTTTTATGCCCCGCTCATACAATGCATGAGGCAACAGTATTAATTACTGAGATTTATAAAAACTAAGGGGACTGTGCCTTACATATCTCCCTTCTACTCAAATAATACAAGACAATCAGTTCCTTTAAAAAAGGTTTGCAGAGACCATCATAGCAAGACCCAAGCCTAAATATTCTTTTTGCTGAGATGCTCAGTATCAGAATTGCACCTATATATTACTCTGCCTAAAATGCCTCTTAAGGGGCATTTCAGCTTAATATAGATAATAATGTGCTGGAAATTGTATTGGAATTGTGTTGGCCATCTTCTCCTTCCTGTTGTCTTTGTCTTCATTGTAGTGCACCTTTATTTAACAGCAGTGGAAGCTGCTTATTTCTGCAAGCAATGCTTAGATATTGCTGTGTGTTTCAGCTGCACGCTATTGTGTTCTGTAGAGAAAAGTGAGTGGCTATGTCTGCATTTGTTCTTCTGCACAATTCCTGCCTTCATTGCTGTGTTTGATCTGTTTTTGTCATCTCTCTGTGTTCTGTTCTTTCTCCCACACCTATGGCAATAATCTGGGGAGGCTACCAAAATAGCAGCCTCAATGTCTCCTATTCAACTTCTCTGAAACAGGAACTGCATCTTCTTCCTGCTCCTAAATATTCACTTATCTCTGTGGGGCTGCAGACACATCAAGGGGTTTGGTTGTAATGAAGAAATGCTCGAGCTGCTCTCTTACTGAGATGTATTTGTATTTGAGTGCAGAGAGGAATGCATATACAGCAGAAGAAACCATGTGCCTTTACTTGGCTGTGCAAGGCATGCTCTTCTCTTCATATCCTTTTCTAAATCCTTTTAAATACGTTTCACAATGCTATTTTTGATACTTTATTATGTCTCTATGGCTACCGTAGATTTTAACTATTGTAACAGTGTTTGAGCAGATGACCCCAGTGTATAGAAATATCTGATAGGTGGGAAACATTGCTGGGGATGTTCTAGGGAAATCTTTACTGTAGTAGTGGAATTTTCCTGCTCAATAGAAGGGGCTTATAATTTTCTTGCTTTCTCATTCAGGCACTGTCTCTGAAACTAGACCTCATCTTTTTTTGCTGCCTTTGGGGAAGAGGAAGACAAGGAATATACATTCCTATTTAGTAACATAGTTTTACTAATGGAATTAAAATATCAGCAGACTTAGTGGTAATTTCAGAGGAACTCAGACAGACGCAAAACTCTCTTAAGAGCATTGTTGTTGAACTGTTTTAGTTCTCTGGTTGCATGGGATTTCCTCTTTTCCTTCCTAATGGTGCATCTCTGATAGCTTTTACAGTGTTTTAGGCTGAGCTGCAGAATTTGAGGCCACTTATATAAACAAACAACACAATTTTGAGACCAGAAGAGAAATTTTATTGGACTAGCAAGGGGACAGTAGGAAAATTTCACTTTGTGTTCTTCTGCTGTAATGTCCCCAGATTAGGATTTTTCTCCCTTGAGACTGGGCCCAAATTAAAGCTTTCAGTCTTCAAATTTCAAATCAAAATAATGAAGTAATGTAATAGCAAACTTCTCAGTATGTCAATTATGTGGCATGGCACCTTGAAAGAGTTTATCCATAAAAACTAACTCCTCACTGTGGAAAATTGAATCTTCTTTTTAGCATGGTAAGCATTTTAAAACTGAGTAGCACCACTAACTCAATGATTAATTCTTTCTCATAATCAATTTATTATATAACCCTTTTAATCCCTGCAAATCATACTAATCTGTTCCTCATGCATTAGCTGTTCATCCAAAATATCAGTCTCCTCCCCTACCTTACCCTGCATTCTTCCAAATAACTGATCTTCCCCCACTTCCAAATCAACTTTACCAAAAGCCTAGCTTAGAAAGGGAATGAAATAAAACAGATTAATTTTGGATGAGAAAAACACTCCAGCAATAAACAGGATCATCTGTTGTTTTCTGTTTGTTTTATTTTTTATCAAGTGGAAAGTAGAGACACACAGGTCTTCATAGATGAGGCTGGGTTTTTGGCAGCCAAAATGAAAAGCGTAAGAAAGCCTCTGCTGCAGAGTAAAATTGACAATGAACAAGAAATATTTTGCTAAATGTAAAGCAAGGTCTTTGGAATGCAAAATCTTTGATCTCTGTGGGTTTTGCATCTCTGCCTCACAAGGTTTGACAATTAGAGCATAAATCACAGAACTTGATGGGAAAGAAATGACAGCTTTCTGTCTGCTATCTGGATTTCTCAAATTTCCCCTATGTTGCGGGAATTAATGTTGCACATAGTTCAGCACCAGTGGTGTTGCTGTTACATTAAATTGATTCTAACAATGTGTGGTGTTTAGGTATGGTAAAATATAGACTGTTTTATCTGTGCATTGCATGTGTTAGCTTCATCCTTGTAGCAATTCTACAGATTTCAGTTTCTTTCTGTAACTGCATATATTGACAACAGAAGTATTGATGGAGCTTTGATTTTTGGTAAAAAGCAGGAAAAAAAACAAAACACTAGCATGATAAAGTTCTATTGGCATGCAGATTTATGAAAGTGCTAAATAGAAATAGAAGAATTAATTTAGTAAATGCTTAATGCACAAAACAAGTTTCTGCCTGGGTGAATTGCTTTACTGACCCTGAAATGCAAGGACAAAAACATGTACCATGAAAAAATGAAGAATAGAACATTTGTCCCTGTCCTTGCCCTGCAAGGTAGGGTATTTCTAGCTACAGAACTTTTAGAAGTCTTTATAAAAAGGGAGGAAATTGTGTTGTTAAGATTAAATTCTAATGGTTCTTGCTCTTCCATGGTGCTTTGTTTTTATTTGCTTTCCAGGGCTTCTTTGCTCTCTCAGTCTGATAAGATTTTTTTGCAATCTTGAAGCAGAGAGAGTCAGCAGCCACAATTAGAGACAATATCTCTGACTGAACTTTTATATTTCTGGGGTGTATGTCTCTTTTCATCACATTATCTATGGAAATTATATTCCAGACTTGGCATCTTCCATGTTGTGCTGCTGCTCCTCTGTCCACTGCCATTTTTCTGATCTCTTCTTGCAGCAGAGAATCTCTGGAACCTGGGAATGCTAAGGTACAGAAAAGCTGAAGTGAAACACAGATTTTCCACAGCTCCCATGTGGGTCAGGAGAAGAGCAAGGAACATGCTGTAAAGCTACAAAAACTTGTTGTTTTGTAGGGGGTTGTGGTGGGTATTACAAGAAATATTCAGTTGTGATGGGTAGAAGAAATATTCAGTTTTTAATGCAGAAATTTCAGTGTGTGCGCTCTGGTAGAAATATATTGATTAGAACTGTTTACACAATTTTGATGAATTCAGATTCTTTCTTGGCCTCAGGGCTTTCAAGTTCACTGTTAAGCCATACCCTAAACTGCCTGTGGGGCTGGCAGTTGGGTTTGGATTCCTGCTTGTCCTTCCTTTGAAGTGTTGGAGGAAAGTATGAGGAAAGAAGGTGACAACACAATGATTTTGGAGGGATATTGACAACTCTGGGTTTGAATTTTAATTTAGTGGCCATGTACCTAATGCATAGATATTGCAGGGCTTAAGCTCTCATGTATTCAAAGCCTTGAGTAGATTTTACCCACAGGTTAGAAATTTTCTAACATTTCTAATTCCTATTTTATGATAACTCTTGTCCTACATCAAAATGTGGCGACAAAGAGTTCTGGTTTTGCCTACCAAATTTACAGGGGTCACCCACGTTGCAATAAGAGTTGTACAGTTTAAGTGTGACTGCACTATGTTGGTTTTATAATTAGCACTATCTAAGCTTATTCATATAAGTCAGCCTCCTAAGGTTCTAATTCATACTTGGTCTGCAAGGCAGGAAATTTGCATGCACTAAATGGCTATTCTTTAAAATGGCTAATCATTGGAGAAAAAATCCTTTTGCATTTAATGCTCATAGGGAACTGTGCAGGTATTAATATGGCTATAATTTGTAGCTAAAAAAATTCCACTGTAATTTAATAGATTCATCTCCAATTGGTATAAAGTGATACTTTTCTTGTAGCAGGAAGGGTTGTTGCTGTAAAAGCTGATGAATTTCACTTTGTAAAAAGGTAGGTGAGGTGACATTTTAAAGTTGAAAACAGCAATTGTAATTTGGAATCAATACTTTATGCCCTAGAATAATGTAAGGTACTGTTCTGTCCTAATTGGCTGGAAGCTAAAATGTTAATGCCAAGCCAGCAGATGTATCCCCAGCCTGTAGTTTCCCATGAAGATTTGGTTTGCAAATAGATGACTTTCTATTTATGGGTAAAGTAAAGCCTAATTGTGAGTCTTCACAGTACCAGGAGCTGCAAGGACTGGGACTTTAAGGGAAGTGACTGGCTGATCACAGGGATGCCACAGAGCATACCAATGAGCTGCATCAATGTGTGTGCTCCAGTTTGTGAAAATCCTCAGTAATCAGCAGAATGTCGACAGTAAATATCTCATTGTTTTTAACAGCAAAGTGTTGCAAGATCAGAGAAATATGGCAAAGTCTAATTGGATTGGAAACAATGATTTCCTCTCAAATAGATTTCTGATTGAAAACTAATATAATCGAGTGATGTCCCAAGTAATAACTGTAATGCACAGATGGTGCCAAATTGAAAGACTGAGTGACTAAAAGTGTTGACATGGTAGATTAAAAATCCATCCTGAAAATATTTCTATTTTAAAAATCCATGCTGAATAAGTTTCTATTTCAGTGTGTGCTTCCTGCATTTTACCTTCTGTCCAGACTAACAGATTTTGTAGTTGTGTGGCATTTTCTCCAATAGTCAGCCCAGCCAATGTTACGTTAAATTCCAATGTTTTTGGGACAAGGAGAAAGCACATATTATGTATAAGTAATGCCAAGACTTTCTTGTTAGTAAATCTGAAGTTCTGAGAGTTTGATCATTATTAGTCCACATCTAATTGCTGCAGGAGAAGAAAAAATAATAATGCAGTTAACATTGCTGCAAACACACACACACACACACACACACACACACACACAGAGACACACAGAGTTTCCTCTCCTTTTCTGGCATTACACTTGCAGTGTTGCTACTACTCTGGATCTTAATCAGTGATTTCAGTCTGTGTGGTGAGTGTTCTAAAGGGTGATGAAGAGTTGTCAGTATCTGGAATCCTTTGCCAGGAGGAATGTGCTGCTGAATATGGAGTTGGTGTTTTCTTCTTCATCTCTCTTGGATTGACGAAGGGATCACTTTTATGTCTTTGTTAACAAACTTTTGCATTTTTCTCTCTTCTTCACTGGTCTACAGCTTCAGGTTATGTCTAAATCTACTATATAATTGATGTGTGTAAGATACTATTCCTTTATGACTGCTGAAAGCAGGTTTATGCAGCTCAAGATCTTCATGCCTTTAACTGAGCCTGGCTGAGTTATAGGATATCCAGTGCCAAGCCAGGCCCCCTGTCTTGTCTTCTAGTGCCAGTGATACTTCATGCCACATCCTGTCTCTTCACTTTCCAGATCTTCTCTTGTACCATTTCTTTATGCTGCGTTACTGTGCCAGTCATAAATATTTCAATTTTTTTAACATAACTCCTTGTTCCTGCTCTCTGTATGAAACAGTGGCTGTTCCACACAATGATAAACAAAAGTAAAACAAATTCTCACAGCTCAATTGGGTACAACAAAGCAAAAGGGGTGGTTTGTACCAGACACCCTTGACACGACCTCCCTTTCTGGCTTCTTCTCTTCAGAGAGATGTGAGAGGAGAGGAGGGCATTGTCAGGAAACATCCCCACCTGAGCCCTTGGCTCTTCAGGCACCAAGTAGACTTGAGAACCTGATATCTGGCACCAGGAGGTCAGGCTGAACAGGGAGCTGGTTAAAGATGGTCATGAAGCAACTTGCCTACCTGCCAACAGAGACAGAGAATTTCAAATGACTGTTTCAAATGTCTTGGTGAACTAATTTCTGTTTTTCTCAAGAAATAATACGAGTTTACATTGAAACCCTTTGATTCTGAGGCCAAACTTTTTGGTTTGCACTGAACTTATTTTTTTCCTAAAGAAGTGAATTCTTTCTACAAGAAGAGCTTTGCTTTCCAAACAGCTCTGATAGCCATCAAAGTATAGAAGAGTGCTTGGTTTGAATGACAATTAAAAACAGTTTGTGTGTAAAAGTATTGAAGAATGTCCTCTGATGGCCTATTTTCTGGACATAAACTATGCAGGTAAAAGCAATGCATTTTGGAAGTGTATTGATGATAAATTTTCAATTAGCATTTCCTCAAATAGAATGCTTCAAACTTTTTTTAATCCTTTAAATAAACTTTTATCAAGCATATGACACCTGAAAGTTTGCCCTCAAATTAAACTTGACCACTACCCAATTCTGAACTGTTTGAAATTTCTTTCCCTGTGAGAAAAGAGCTGAAGCTAAAATGTGTTCTTAATGTCTTACTAATTTTCTTTCTAACACTAAATTTTCTACAAACATTAAACATGTTCTTAATGTCTTACTAATTTTATTTCTTAAAGTTTTTTCATTCATACAACTTTGTCAACTATCCCCACACCCAAACATCTCTTTATGTAGTAGTTGAGAATATGGCTGTCATTGCATTGAAATATCAACATGAAATATGAATCTCACCCCTAGGAAGCTAAAGTTAATACGAATTCATGTAAGCTAGCTGCAAAGTACTTTTCATGCAAAAAGAAAAAAAAATTAAATAATGAGAGAGTAAAAAGAAAAGCAAGTATCTTAGTGACATTTTTCACAGAAACAAACCCATTTTCAAGCTTGACCGAAATGTAGAAGTGTGATAGTGGTTTTGCAATTCATCATGAATATTTCAAACACATCTGATTTCTACACATGCTATGATTACTAATGTGTGAAGTCAATTAAGTATGCATTTAACCCTTCTTTTCTTTTCTCTGTGAGGGGCTTATGAGAAATTGAGCTTTTTAGCTAAAACAAATCCACAGACAGCATATATAGTTGCCTTGTCTTGAAAAACAGGCAAAAATCACTTCTGAAATATTCATTTCTTTTGTTTGTTGAAATGAAAATAATTTTTTATCCAGTTGCAACCATCGTATATTCTTCAGCAGACACTTGGCATGAAGGTCAGCAATAAATTCTTCCTGCTGCTATGTTTTCTGGCCCCTGAAATCACAAATAATGTTCATTTTCTTTGCATTATTTCATGATTTTATTTGGTTGAGCTAAAGATTGATTCAAGATTATATTTCTTGGGGGCAGGAAGTTGAGAGGAAGGGAAATGAAACAATTTTTTTTTAATCTTGTAGCTGAAGAGGTTTATGGATTTGGCCTCGGTTTTCTTTTTTTATTGGAAGTGTTTGAAGAGAGGCAGGGCAGACTCTGGTGCTGCCACACATTTGGGGTGAAGGAGAGCGGGTGGAGGCTTGGGAGAACAGTTTGGGTTTTTTCTTTATTAGCCTCTGCTGAAGCTTTACTTGAACCAACAATAAGAGCATCCTTAAAGCAGGTTCCTAATGACTCCAAATGGCTCTGGATCAGAATTTTGCACTGTTGTTTCCTGAACTCAGTTCCTATGACAGGCGAAGCGTTCCAAACTAGTATAGATACAATATATATATATAATGTGTAATAGATATAATTCACGCCATTTCTAGTATGATATATGTAATATTAAATGTTAATATTACATATATTAATATGTTATATACATATTAATATGTAATAAACATATATTACATATTAATATTAAATATTTATTGAAATATACATGTTTGTATTAGGAGTTCCCCCCACCCTCACAAGTGAAACCTGGTGTATGTTGAAACCCAATTTACACATAAAGAATGTGGCTCAACCTGAGGATGGGCCATGTCTAAAGAAATAGGAGGATGCCTAAGCACTATTCATCACATAAAAGACCTGAGATAAATATCATAGAAATCCTCAAACAAATACGTATAAATACAGCATTCCCATAAATTTAATCAGAAGATTCAACAGCTCCAGACACTGATTTGCTCTTCCTCATTGCCAAAAAAGAAAATCTTATATATAAACTATTATAAACTCTAAATAAAAAAAAACTAACTGCCAAAATCTTGGTCTC